CTATTAAAACTATTTAGGCAAATCAAAGTTGTCATGGTCTGTCTTTCCATTGACTTCAGTTCAATTTGGATGAAGCCCTTGTCCTTTAATAGCTACCTACTAGCAATGCCTTTGTGTCCCCTGCCGCCCCCCGCCTTTTGGCAACTTGTTTTGATATTTGTGTGCCCATGTTTGACCAGGACACCTAATAACTGTAATGTTTCTTATTTTCTTTCCTAGATGTACAGTTGTCTCTCTGCTGGTGAATTTCAGCTGATCAGGCAAACTCTCCTTATTTTTTTTCAGGATATGCATATCAGGGTAAGTGTCCTGCTTGATTAGCCAATAAGAAATATGAATTTGATTTAGTGGCAGTAACGTGGTACTATCATATTCTGGTACTATCATATTCTAAAATAAGCTCGTCTTTGCTGCTTGGGCTTGGAACTTGATTTGATGACTTCAAAAGTGTCATTGCTTGAAGCTCCAGAAACCAAAAATAATGTGCAGTGCAAGTGTGTCAAACCATTCTTTCTATTTCCTAGTCACTTGAGTGATAGGGGAAGCTACTACTGCCCACTCCAAGCTACTATGTTCTGAATTTGCTTATTTATTAGTGGGTGTTTCCTAAACTCAGGGAATGCCATGCAGGTATGGACTTTACTGACTGACAAACTACTTTAACCTTTTTAATTAAAAGCTTGGCTGAGAAACTGAGGATTAAAGGTGAGTTTGGTATGCTCTGAATAAAGGAAAGGGTTCTATCAGTAAGCTGAGCGCAAGCAGTTTATTTCAAATCGGGGTATGATGCCAAGCAGTGTGACTGTTGTGGGCCCATCACATGCTTGTTTCACACACTGGTCTCCCTTTGATGTTGGCGGACTACAGGATTGAGCCCTGAGCAGGTGATGTGAGGAGGCATCTGACTGGTGCTCTCGTGGGTGGGGTGTTCTTTGCAGGTCTCCATCTTTCTGAAGGACAAAGTGCAAAACTCGAATGGTCGTTTTGTGCTGCCAATCTCAGGTCCTGTTCCATGGGGGACAGAAGTTCCAGGACTCATCAGGTGAACCCTAGACCACTATTAATTATGTCTGCATTTCCCTTGCATGCATGGCCAGCAAGATAGGGGGTGTCCAGCCAATGGCAAAGTGAAAGCTTGGCCACTGGGAATTGCTCTGAGACTGGTATCCGTGTTGCCTAGTTAGTTGTGCATCCTTTGGATGTTAATACTTGCAGGTCATGATTTGCTATCAGTGACCTGCTAGTGAATGCCTGAGAAACTCTCTGTAATCCCCTGCTCCTTTTATTTATCTTTTTAAAATATTTAGTTTTTTTACAGTGATAGCAAGAAATTATAAAAAATATTTTTATTCCTGTTCATTCTGTGTGATGAGCACACCAAGGCAATACTGAAGGGCCCAAATAATGTCTTGGGATAATGATGACTTATTTTTGTTCTTTTAAGGATGTTTAATTGCAATGGAGATGAAGTTAAAAGAGTTGAATTCACCAGTGGTGGAAATTATGTTATTCCACAAAGAGAAGGCTCTTTTGATCTTTATGGAGACAGAGTCCTTAAACTGGGCACAAATATGTAAGTAAATGTTCCTGCATAGAAACTGGAGGTCAGCTCTGAAGAGAATGCCTTGTTTGTTCAGAAACATATGTATTCTAGCTTTTTATCCATTGCGCTTATTTTTGCCACTTCTGCTTTTCACTTGACACTTTGACTTCAGTGACCTTGGAGAAAACAACACAAATAGCAGTAGCTATGAATCACAATATCTCCTTGTAGCCTGAGCTCTGCTCACTCTTAGTGGTCCATCAGGCTAGCACCAGTAAGGCACACCAGTTTTTGCTGTCAATAGCATGCAAGGGAATGGTATGGCTAGCATTGCGTCTGCCTGCTTAAGTGACCAAGCACCAACTGTGGCTACTAGAAGCCTTAAGCTCAAGTCCAAAGCAAGTTTTAAATGGGTACCTCTGAATCCATAGTGAGATGCCAGAACTGCTCCGTCAATTCTCCCTTGTAGATTTGAATGGATGAGTTTCAGTAGCTCTAGAAAAAAAAACAGGTTCTTTACTCGTGCCTACGGCAGAGTTGAGGGTAGACAAGGTGTTGTTTAGTACTACACATTCTCTGAGTTCATATACTTGTCACTTAGATGTATTCAGGGGGTATTTCTTAATTATTTTTACAGGTATTTCCTATAAGTAGTTTAGCATCAGGGAGCAAGAGTTGGGAGTGCTCTTCAGGCATTTCCACTCTTTTCTGCACTTGGGCATTTTAACAAAATCAGCATATTAAGAAACCTAGCTGGGATGGCTCAGCCTAAGTATTCAGTGTCTCCAGGAAAAAAATACACAGAAACCTTGTTTTGATCCAGCATAAATAGAGGTGTCTTTTGATCTTGGCCTATGGATAGCAACTGACTTTTTCCCCATAAACATAGTAACCCTTCTATATTTTCTTCTAGGTACAATGCAAGTCGGCCAGTGGAGACTCATATGTCTGGAGCATCCAAGAGTTCAGCATCTCACACAAAGGTAGTCTTCTTCCATCTCTTTCAGGCTTTGCTAAGTTCTTGACCTCAGTGGAAAGGAATCCCATGCTCCATGTGTTCTATTAAAAAAAAAAAAAAGTTTTGATTAGTTCTGAGTTTGCTGCTGTTTAATTGTATATGGGATCTCCTTGTTCTTGTGCAAGAGAGATCTCTTGATAATACATTATTTTATATGCTTCTACTCTGCCCATTTGCTTGTTCCGTTTTTCAAGCAGACCATGCCAGTATTTTCATTCTCCATCACTGCGGATTGTTCCAGGCCTCTACCTTGTCACCCTTCTCTGAACACGATCCAATTCTGCACTGTCCATATTAAGAGAGAGAGGGAACAGTAGTGCGCAATACTCTAGACCAGGCCACCTCCTTGACTTCTATAATGAAAGTCTAATTTTTCTGTATTATCTGTTGTCCTGTTCCTCATGCATCCTTAAATCTTGCTTCTCTTGAGCACTTTTCAATATTTTGAGAGGTGGAGAAGTTTAGTTTTCCAAATTTAGCAGCTATTCTAATTATCCAGGAAATTACTTTGTTCTGTATCTGTAAATTCAAACATCTAATTAATGTGTATGTATCTGCTAAACATCAGGACCTACATTTATACCACAATAACAGAAATGTGTTAATTATGTCACTCCTGAAAGAATGTTTTCTTAATGAAACCAGAAACAAAAATGTATGGTCAGTCTCTGGATTGATAAACAAACAACAGCTTCATTTATTACTTTCTGCAGGAGAATGCAGCCCCTAACCCTCTTGCTAAGGAAGAACTGAACTTTTTGGCTAGATTAATGGGCGGTCTTGAGATCAAGAAACCCAGTGGCACTGACCCAGGATTCCGATTAAACCTGTTCACCACAGATGAGGAGGAAGAGTATGCTTAATTCAGAGCTTGTTTTGTGCATGTGATTTTGGTGCTGGGTGAAGTGCTGTGTTGAGAGTCGTGGAGAGAGAAGCTCTCTCTCCACAATGTAAGTACAGTACTAGCAACCCTTCTAGTGTCTCAATTCTGACTCGATTCCCCAATGGATTCCATTGGGGAATAAGGGGTGATATTCAATCTCTCTGGCACGGCCCCACCTTGGCCTTCATTTTGAGATTACTAGCAGGGGAGCCAGTTTACATCGGGAGTGTAGAGACTGCTCCTCTGGAAGAGAACTGATACCTCACTGCTCAGCAGCGAATGATCTCTTATCAGTAGAATCTTGGTCTTAGATTTGAACCTGTGGCCAAAAGTGAAAGAAACTGTAGCCCATTACCAATACCCCTTTGCTCCTTTCAGACATGCATATTACAGCCTTCACAGTAGCTCAGCCAATCAGGTCTCTGCTGTGATTGTTCTAGTTCCCCTTTGGTAAAGTGAACAATTTTCTGACTTGCAGTGATCAGGGGAAGGCTATGAACCATTCCATTCCCTGATGATGGGTGCAGAACACATTTGGTACAAATTCACCTCAATCAAAGAACCATTCCCATCACTCCAGTCAACAGAAAACACACAAACCTGCAGAGATATACAAAGATTGTTGCCTGTTCTCTTGTCCATTGTAGTCACATAAATGGGGAAAGTTGAGTCAGGCTTCCAAGTGCTAACTTATTAAGCATCTCCAGACAAATGTTTTCTTCATTCATTCATTCATTCATTCACTTATCATTATGGGATTGAGTAACTGTGTTTATACTTTCTATCCAGACATGCAGCATTGACCAGGCCAGAAGAACTGTCTTATAAAGTTATCAATATACAAGCAACTCAGGTACGTGCAGTGATCTTTATTATGTGATCTTTATCATCTCCTTGCTGCCAAGGGTTGACTTGTATCTTAAAGATGCATTTGATGTTTTAAAAATATTAGCATGCTTTTGCAGAACCTGGTTAAGATCCCAAATCAATTAAGGAAATTCTACAAAGATTTGGCTATTAACACATTTGCTATTAACACATTTGCTATACAATAAACCATTCACTGGCCAAAGCCCAACTTAAAAAACAAATGCCAACAAAGACCAGACTGGATTGTTCTCGTGCTCCTAGCTGCAGTCCTGCAGGAGATTAAGTTTAGCAGGTGAATGTTTGTAGCATTGGTAGGTAAATGCAATCCAAGTTCCATATTATGTTTCCAATCCTGTGGCCCTTACACAGTCAGCATCCCCACGGACTTTGCCTCTTTTGGGACCACAAATTGCATCATTAGCTGTTCTAGGGAAACAACTGTCTACATTCTTTTACTGTTGTTTATTTTCAGCAGCTATTCACCTGTTGATCCATGAGGGTTTTTAATTGTGCAGTTACTGAAATCTCTCTCTGTTGAATTTACTTTTCATATACATAATATTCAAAATAGAAAGGACTTTTCTAAGGTTAATAAAATGTTAGCCTTTACACTTGAGCCCTTTACCCAGTTACTCTGACTGAAACCATTGTGAAACGAAGGAGTTACATGGTGGGGTCCTTTCCTTCTAAACAGGACCAAGAGCGGAACAAGGAGCTGGCTCAAATCATGGGGGAATTTGAGGTGACAGATCAGCCCAGACAGAGCACCAGCAAGGGAGACGATTTGCTGGCGATGATGGACGAGCTCTGAAATTCCATCTCCCAAAGGCACAGGCAGGACATGGAGCTGCCTCTAGTCACATAGTTTGACACAGCCAAACCCTGCTGCCGTTACAGATCCCATCTGTTGGTTTTGGGACTAATGTGCCTAGGCCTGCACGTGGCACCAGAAGCAGGCTCTGGGGGCTACTGGCACATGTTCTGCCATAGGCACTCTGGTTTTAAATGTGGCGTTTTACATATTTGCTTCCTTCATCTTCTATCAAAGCTCTAGGCTATCCCATGCCAGGGATGCAGCTGCCCAGTAGCTGAAACGAAAGTGCAGTGTTCCTGTTCTGCCTGTATCCTCCTCTGCTGGAGGCCGGGTTCTGTCCATGTCCTTTACTGTGAGAAGTGGAAGCTGGCGCAGTATCTACCAGCCAGTGCCTGGCTCTCATAGATGGGGGAAGGAACCACTCCTCCTTCATCCAGAATCATTGTCAGATGTGTGTATCCATGTGTCCAGCATCACACACAAGACACCCAGGCAGCGCACAGATGAAGTGAGTGACACGAAGTGCTCTGCTTCGGCCTGGGCCGTGTCCGTGTGGCTGCACACATGCCAGGGCTCCCCCGGGGCCACCATGCGATATGCCACTGTCCACCTTGGTCCCTGCACGAGCAGCACCTGCAGTGGGGCTCCCTGTGGCTGCTGCATGCTTCAGCCCCCGGCATCTGCACCCTCTGGCTCCCAGTGCTGCGGCTGAGGGTGACACCTGCCATAGGCTCATGGGGTTGCTCCAGCTGGTGATCTTTTGCCCTGGATTACATTTGTGTAGAGGATTTACGAATGTACTTCCTGTCCTGTGTTGGCCATGTAGTGTAGACAAGGCGGTCGTGACTGTTCCAGGTGATCTGAGCATCCTACCGTCTGTCATCAGGCACAGAACAGCTCCCTGGTTGGTACCGACTGCACCGAGTCGTGCCTCGACTTGTCTCTACGTTTCCAGGGAAATATCGCTTCTTGCCTGTGCTGGAAGTTGCTGTATGTACTGTGACCAAATGCTGGTGTTGGTGGAGGTGTCCTGTAAGGAGGAAATAAAAATGAAAGCTAGGCTTGTGTTTCAGAGTACCACAGAAACCAGAATAAACTTCAGTGTGTCTGTGCTTGCGTCTCAGAGTTGAGTGTCTCCGGGAGTGAGGTCCGGCTGTCTCAGCAATGTTGTCATCCACGTTCAGAAATGCCGCAGGGAGACGAACTCGTGTTTTCTGAAGCCTGAAGTCAACCCTAAAGAGCCACGAGGGGGGAGAGGGGAAGGGCGGGGGTTCAGCGTTCACACGAGCCAGACCGGGTTCCTGAAGCCGGGATCCCTCCTTATTAAACCGCTTGGGGCCTTCTGTTTCCGGGACCAAATCTCTATTCCACGCTCGTGACCCGCTCCACGCGGGTCGGGTCCGCGCAGCGCCCACTCCCGCCTCGGCACCGGCCGCTCAGTGCGCAGGCGCGGTGACTAGCTAATCCACGTGAGGCTCACTCGGCTGCTCAGTGCGCAGGCGCAGCGGCAGG